GGAAACGGAACCTGCATTCTGCACTGCCTTGGTGCAGTGCCAATGTTTCCCTGCTCTCATTTTAAATGCGGTAGTTTAATTTTAATATGCAGAAGTGGTGGTCGTGAATTGTTGGATTACCGTGTGGAGTTCAGCTGAATTCCTTTAATTAACCGTGCACAACGTTTGTGACTAAATGAATGATGTTGTAGAACTTGGATGTAGAGCGCTCACCTGCAATGCAGTGCAGTGTTCCTGCAGCTAGGTGGTACAGGATATTTTCTGCTTGTGCTGTTCAAAGACTCTCTGTCGGCGAGGGAGCTGATCACTCTCTGCCCGCAGTGCACTCTGGCAGAGGCAGCTGAAATATTCGTTGATGGCTCTGCCGAAAAACTGCGAGCTGACTTCGGGGCTGGAATTTCCAATGGGTATCAGAGCTTCTTGCAGGTATTGTAAATCTGGTTGCATCGGTTCTTAAATATTGAGCTGAGGCATTTCTGCAGCTTGCAGTGCTGGTTTTCAAACACTCTTAATTAAAAATGATCGGCAATATGTTCGTTTTTTTAAAAAAAAGCGAACCATTGTACTAATAATCTGTGCTACGGGTGTGTAGTACTACAGGTGCAATTCTAGCTATCTTTATTCATAGCCGCTTGTTTTGCAGTTATCCAGTGAATTGATATTCAGATCAGGTATGCTGCAGAGAAAGCGGCCTCTTGAAGTATTAGTGTTTCTATGTCAGCAACTGCCTTAGCAGTCATAAACAGGTGAGCGGAACTGCTGAGCGTTTCTTTGCTTGTAAGTAAAACCTATATTAGAGAGGTTTCATTTCATGGAATAAATGTTTCACAGGCAAACAGTTTGCCGTCCTATGTCAGTTAATTCCTCTGTGGCCTTCAGTCAATTGTTCTAATTCTCTTGTTTGCAGTTTACTGCCTGTATATTTATGAGATGTCGTTTTTAAACGGTGTTGGAAGCTATTCTTCTGTCTTATAAGAAACGCAAGAATTATTTAAAATATCAAGCTCCAGATGAAAGACGACTTGCCTTACATTATTACTTTTAATTTGCATGACGTGCAAACATATAGATTATTCCTGGCAGATAATTAAGTTTGCCGGACTTTTATGCTTAATATAGTTTGGTATAAAATCATTCAGAAACTACCTACTTAAGTTAACATGCGTTACCGACCGGTAAATTATTGGTGTATAATGTTGCCATTGTTGCACAGAAACAACGTTGCTCAGTCTAACCTATAATCCTGTAAGTAATGCATGGAATGTGAATTATATCTGAAATGGCAGAGCACATTGGGGAATTTCTGAGTGTTTGGTTGTTGACTTCTTCGATGTATTCAAGATTTTGATCATTGGAATTTAAATTCTTGGGAACGCTCAAGGAAACGACAATTGAGACCAGCACTGCCGGAATTTGAGGCGAGCCTACTTTCTATTTCAATTCAGAATGAAGGCGTCTTCCCCTGCTTTCGTTTGGGAGAGGGGGAAGAGATTGAGTTGATGGTGTGGCGAGTTAATGTCGAATTCTTATTTAAATTGGTTCATTACTGCATCTCTGGAAACTGAGATGAACTTGCGTAAACAGACCCGTAGGTGGTGCAGTTTGGGGAGTACTCTGGTGCTTGTGGCACTTGGCTCCATTTGCTTTACCCTGGCTGAAAGCTGAATGAAAGTTGGAAATCATGGGTGGAAAATACCCCTCTAGTTGAGTGACCATATTTTGTAAGACGACAAATCCAGCGATACCTATATATATATTAAAAAAAATTGAACTCACTACGATTCCTGACGCTGGCTGTACAGGAGAAGCGTGTGGGATTAATGGCTGTATTTCTCTGATGGGTATCCGATTTGGAATTTTATTGTTCTCGCTCAGTTTGTTGCTGAACTCAAGACATTTGGCCGACACAATACCTCATCCAGAATTGGGGACATATGGTCACCCTACCTCTGTGTTAAAGTGAGCTGAACTTCCCTGACATAAGACATGTAATGTTGTAATCACTATTGCAAACGTTGTCTAACACGAGATTGAAAAGGGAAACTTTTCTGAAAGTATTTGCTTTCCTTTAGGTCTGAAGTTAAGCTATTGTAGGTTGATGCATTTCAGTTTATTATTTCCAATGGTAGCATGTTATCAGGTTGTTGAATTTGAGTTTGCCCTTCATAATGTCTTGGTTATTATTCTGGTTTGTGCTGCCTAAAAACTGACTGATGTAGGCAACAAGATGTTTTTGAGGCCGAGTTCTGACTTCAAATAGGAAAGGACCGTTGACCCACCAGTGTTATTGTTCAGAGACTGGGTGGAGTTGGGCATTCAATCACATAAGTGAATTGGGACTTCTTGGTCTGAAGAGGGTTAACGTCACAAAGTTATAATTGTTGTGGTTAGATGCCAGATGATAAAGTTCTTCTTATTACTCTGCTTATTAATATTCTAGCCAATATTGCTTTTTTGAAAACATTCAGAGTGGGCCACTAGTCTGACATTTTGCGCTTGTTCAAGAAACAGAAAGTGTTGTACAACATTTTTTCAAACAAAGAAAGAATGAAGGAGGAAAATGCTGCACCCTTGTCTGATTTAGATCAGTATTTAGCAGTTATCTAAGAACTGGCAACTGGCTTTAGTAAACCATAGATTTGGTCGGCTTGTGCTGAGGTATGTTTCCATTCTGAGCAGCCCTTGAAGATGGAAATACATTTTGAACATAATTACATACCCTAAAGAAAATCAAGCCTGCAGTACAGAGAGATGACCAGTTTCTAAAGACTTCCAGAAAATTTCAATCTTACAAAATTCAGCACAGCTTGTTTCAAGCATTTAAGCTGAGCAGAACTGCATATTCAAATCTGTGTTGCATATCCAGAGTGACCAGTTAGTTATTGAATTAAATGGAGATATTTATGCAGTTGAATCAGTGTCTAATATTTATGTGGTGTTATGTTTACATAGTCTGAATCTGTTGGATTAGTGATCTGATCAATAGTTTTATCTAAGTGATCACTGACTGTTATGATCAGTGCAGCAAGACCCATATTTTATATAACCTAAGATTTCATATTGCTGTTGTATTTGTAGTCTGAATAATGATAAGGAGGTGGTATGTTGTAACCAGATATGTGAGATTTGTGTGAATGAAGAGAGAAACAGTGGGGCTTCACATGAAGTGAAGTACTGATTTTTTTAAAAAATCTAATATATATACACCTATTTGCTGATAGTTGGAGTGCAAGTTGAGCCGAATGCAACTTGCCTTAAGTTTCCTTCCCTTTCAAGAATGTTTTACCTTTTCAGTTTTTTTTTCCCCCATTCCTTCCCCTCTACTTTTTATTTATCTGACTTCCGTGTTAGAAAGCACGCAACGGTGACGGTTTCTTCATCTGCGGCTTGAGGAACTGACTAATCTGACATTCGCCCTCCTCAACTGTGAGGAGATATACAAACATTAGTCGCTGTCAGCCTTGCACAGTTGATCGTACTCTCTCACGCTGAATCAGAAGGTTGTGGGTTCAAGGCCCACATCATGACTCCTGTCTCGGCTGATGCTCCAATGGAGTGCCAAGGGTGCACTGCATTGTTGGTGATGCCATCCTGCAGATCAGATGGTAAATCGAGGTCAAGGAGGACGTTAAAAGTTCCTTGGACCCGACTCAAAACACTCTTGAGGGGGTTTCTTTCTCCTGGTGTCCTGGCCAACAATCTGCCAGATACATTTGGTCATTTACTTCATGGCCTCCTGTTTGTCTACAGAATGCGCAGTCACTACACGTTACAGTAAATCCCTTAAAGCGCTTTGAGACATCATCCTGACATGAAAGGTTCTGTATTAAATGCAAGGATTATTTATGTGATGTAGGCTCTCTGCTGTGAATTTCTTCTGGAATTGAGTGAATCCCAGCAGAGTAAATTTATGCCTACTATCATGTTTCTAGGTAAATTAAATGCTGCTCCGCGTATTCTCTTTTGGGCATTTGGATTTATGATCATGCTAACGCATTTGGGGGAATACGTGCTTGTGAGCAAGCAGTTTTGAAGGCAATAAACATTTCGGTGACAACCAGGGTCTCTGGCAGGTTCAGTACAGTTATACGTTCGCTCCTTCCGGTCAAGAATTTATTTTAAATACAGTGCAGATAATTCTAAATTTCAGAACTGAGATTTGCTTTAAACAAAACACTGGTTAAATTGTCAAGTGATTTAAAAACCATATAGGTATTCCAGCATTTTAAATCCGGGACAAGTTTGCTCACCTGGGCTTTACTGTCTTCTGGCATATTTATTTATCAGCTGTTCCTGATTTTGATGCAGAAAATAGCATTAAAGATTTACAAATTGCATCTTTCTTTGGAGCCTATTGTTAAAAGTTGCTCCTGATACAGCTGCCGAAAGGCAGACATACCAAAGTAACAGTTGTTTTTAATTTGGAAGATTTACAGTAGATTCCAGTTAGAAAGGTGGATTCCAGTTAGAAATCGCGGGGTGAGGCACCCGGTGTCCTAGTGTAATTTTTTACTCTTCTAAGTAATTTTCAGTTGCACCATAATAACTTTTGCTGTTTTATTTGAAGAATTAATCTTGCAGTTCTTTAATTGACAAATCATGTTTAATGCGCTGCTGCTTGACTTTAATTTATTTATAATGAATAATATTCCTTTTGGTTTAGTGCCTTTCATATTGGGAGCATTTTTCGAAACACTTCACAGGATTCAGTGTGAAATGTAGTGTTGGCGAACTTGGCTGCCGATTTACACACTGCGGTGTCGCACACACTGTCACGAAGTGAATGACAAATTTTATCTGTGGGATTGTTGGAGAGGACGTTGCTATTGCTGTTTGTAGTGAATCATTTTATAGGAAAATTGTTAAGGAATAGTATTTTTGTTAACCAAAGTCAGCAAGGATTCAGGTACTAGGTAGTGAATTGAAAGTTTTGGCCGCAGTCAGCTAGCGGGATCCCGTGTTGGAACACTTTGTTTTAAACCTTTGACTTTTATTTGTAGGCCTGAGCCTAAGAGAACCCATCCTCCCCCTACGGATCCTGAGCCGCAAGAACCAGAGGAGGAAATTCTGGGATCTGATGATGAAGAGCAGGAGGATCCCAGTGATTATTGTAAAGGTGTGAGCTTATTGTGCTTGGTGCCAACATTTCAGCTTCAGAAGAGGGCAGATCATTGTTACGGCTGAGTCTTCAATGATTGTCTTCTGCTGAAATCGCATGGGTATAGCAAGTTGTGAAATTGAACAGAAGCCACTTTCTCAAATACAGCAACATTTTTTTTAATCTGAAAGGGACTTTTTGCTGCATTAGAAACCTCAACCCTTCAACTTTGTTCCCATAACATTGAAACTAGAAAGAGTCCAAAGATATTCCAGCCATAGGTTTGGCTGGTATAGATAACACTTGGTGAACTAACCTTTCAAATTAAATGAAGATATTGAAGAGCATTGAGTGTCAAATCATGTCATTGCCCAGACCGAGGAGAAAAAAAGAAGAGCCTTCCTCTTTAACCTCCCCCACCCTTCTCTTATTCTTTTTCTTCCTTGTTTTGAAATGCTTCTGTGAAGGAAATATTACTCAATTGGTCTATGTTTTGCACTAAGTTACTAGGAATGATAGAAATAAATAAACCTACTATCGCATTCTTATTTATCATTGTTTCCCTGCGGCTTTTAAAGTGTAGATTTATTCTGGGAAACCTACTGCGATCGCTTTGCAATGTGCTTTTTTGAATATAATATTTCTGAATGTTTAGGTGGCTACCATCATGTCAAAATTGGAGATCTTTTTAATGGAAGATACCACGTAATTCGAAAACTAGGATGGGGGCATTTTTCTACGGTCTGGTTATGCTGGGATATTCAGTAAGTCTGATTTCAGAACTTGGTAACTTCATGTCCCTGTTGCTTCAGTATTTTGCTACCAAATTATGCAGTTGGTATTTTTACAAGTAAATGACATGTTTTGTGTTTTTTTTAAAAAAAAACTTTGCAATGTACTTGGCATTGAATTTATGTAGAAATATACACTAAGAAACCTGATTGGATTTAACAATGTTTTGTTTTTAATTGAAAAGCTGCACCTAGGTCCAATGGGCAGATATGTGCCATTATTTTAACTGCAGTGTACCAATTTACTAGCATATTCATGTGTCTAGTTATATAAGCCCTGCACAGATCTGCAGTAATGAGATTAATTCTGTGTAATGCATTTGTTTTGAACAAGGTATTAAACTTCTCTTCTGGTTTTAGGGGCAAAAGGTTTGTTGCCATGAAGGTTGTGAAAAGTGCTGAGCATTATACCGAAACTGCTCTTGATGAAATCAAGCTACTGAAATCGGTAAATATGGTTGAAAAATAATTTGATTGAAACCTGTTGTTAAGGGCATTCAATAATCTGATCTACTTTCTACTTTCGCCATTATCGGTGAGATGCTCTAGAGTTTAGGAATCAGTTTCCCAAATTAAAGTAAAACCTAAAAGTGTCCAGAATAAATTGTCCTCATTACTGAAGTGCCAAACAGTGTGAGATTGACTGTAATCACCACTTAAGCTTTATTTTGGCTAGATCAGGAATTTATTGACATTATTTTAAGGTTCACATTTGAGGTCCTTGCAAATCAGATTTGTGTGGATAATTGCTTGTTTGCAAATTTTGAATTGTGAAATTTGTTGCTTACAATCAGATTGTGCTGAAATGTTCTGTTCTTAGCAGATTCAAACCTCCGCAAATCACTTTTAAAAGTATTAACATGTGATGAAATCTTTAATATTTCTGATTTGAAGATCTTTTATCTGTTTAATAAATGGCTCAAGTAGCCCAGTTTACTGAGCCTATGCTAGGTAACACATGGTACTGTATCTTTCTGTTAGAAGCTGCCTTTTGACTTCTTTTAACACTTGTGCTAAATGAGTATTTCTGTTCTAAATGCACCAGTGCATATGTGGATTACGTTCTTATTATATTGAGGAAATGTGTACAATTTGTTTTCATGTGTTCATTTCACAGGTTCGCAACAGTGACCCCTGTGACCCAAATAAAGAGATGGTCGTTCAACTGTTGGATGACTTCAAAATTTCAGGAGTCAACGGAACGCGTATCCTTTCTGGTGTTCATCGTGTATTATAGTTGTACTGGATGTGTGATGACTGACCATTGTCTTGGTTGAACTCTACTGGCATTGATCATTTGAATATAGCATGGTCAATGGTTGATTTCTGGGCAAGTAGGTTAAAAATTTAATTTGTGTGTGTATAAAAATTTAATTTGTGTGTGGAGTCCTGTAGCTCAGTGGTTAGAGCACTCGCTTTGCAAGTGAGAAACCTGAGTTCAATTCCAGGCAGAGGGCGAAACCTTGGACAAGTTTCCTTACTCCACACAGAGCCTAATAATAATCCCTCCAAAAAACAAAACAATAATGAATTGGTCATTTTCAATCCACGAATGTTTGTGGGACATTGCTGTGCACAATTGGCTGCCGCGTTCGCCCACAATTATACAGTCAATTCACTTTACAGTATATTCTGTGAAGCGCTTTGGGACGTCCTCCTGACGTGAAAAGCGCTATATCAAATGCAAGGATTATTATATTATTATAAGGTTAGGCTCAGCTGCAATCAGTGACATGCTGATTGACATTCACGGTCACACAGATGGAAGTTGAGTGAAGTTCCTGATGATGTCTTGAAATCTGTGAAACTAACTCCATAGAAAAAGGGGACAAAATTAACAAAGTGACAACAAGATGCTCTACTGAATGAATTAACATCTGAAGCTATTATTGCATTTGGAACATAGCTAAAACTGTGTATAAGGTTGGTTCAGAGCATGTCACTGTTCTATATATGCATTCTCTGAGGGCATGTTGATATCTAACTGGCATAATTTTGCGGGTTTGGATAATGTGTTCCGGCAATTGCAAACTGCAGACTGTAACTGATGAGAAAATTCTGTAGAACCCGTCCTTGACCTAGTTCTAGATGTCTGTATGGTGTTCGAGGTCCTCGGCCACCACCTTTTGAAGTGGATCATCAAGTCGAACTACCAGGGACTTCCTATTAGTTGTGTCAAGAGCATCATTCGGCAAGTAAGTTCAGAGCCTCCATTTGTTTTCATGTATAAAAGGAAAAGAAAATATTGGGAAATTATAAACTTTGAGCAGATGTGAATTTCTGTTTGTTCAGGCATTACTCTTTTAATGAAACAGTTACGCAGGCACGTCTCGAGGCAACTGAACAGCACCTTGGGACGTCCTCCTGATGTGAAAGACGCTATACAAATGTAATTTGTTATTGTGGTTCTCTTGTGTATCTATTAGTGACTTAATATTGTCACAAGCCTTGAAGACTAATGGGTTTAGGTCAAGTTTAAGTGACTGGATAGGAGGAACATAAATGTAGGCTTAATAAAAATGATAAAACATGCAGTTCAGTGCTGATTTAAACAAAGTGTAAATAGGAAAATGCAAGTACTTTTGAGCAATCGGCAGCTTTGCAAGTGTTTTTTTTGTCAAGTTGACTTCATATTTAACTGAACTTGTGGGCCCTCTGTAGAGCCCCTTATCTGGTGATCTTCAGTTTAGCATTTTTTTCTGAAAATCAAAACATTTTCTTCGTTTGCAAAAGGTTCTCCAGGGCCTGGATTATCTACATTCCAAATGTAAGATCATCCACACAGACATTAAGCCAGAGAACATCTTGCTGTGTGTGAATGAGGCCTATATTCGGCGTCTGGCTGCAGAAGCAACTGAATGGCAAAAGGCTGGTGCTCCTCCACCTTCTGGCTCTGCAGGTACTGAGATTTCACCACGATAGTCACAGTGGAACTGTTTAAACTCTTCTTTGCTTTTCATTGACCCAGTTTTGCCCACAAAACATAGTCAATCCATTTTACAGTATATCCTGTGAAGCGCTTTGAGATGTCTCAATGTCATGATCAGGTGCTATCTCAAATGCAAGGATTGTTAAAAGTCTGGTCAGCTGTAACTATTGCTGTAAAATGTTTGGACCACTTTTAGGTCATATAAGCAAAAGTAATATGGCATTGTGTAAGATCTGTCTGGATTTTCCTGGTGGGTAGGTTCATTGATCACAGTACTGGAATGCCTTCCTGAAAATCTACTGCAATATGTCCAGAAGCTCAATGTAATTTGTAAGATACCACTTAGAAGTTAAATGTGTATGGGTATAAGTGCTTGATTCCTTGCGTAACTGTTGATGCCAGCAAAGGTCAACTTTCTGAAGTATATAGCATGTGATAATGTGATATATCTGATGTATGATAATATCAAACAATGTGTTTCTTTTTTCTAACAGTGAGTACTGCACCACAACCCAAACCTGTAAGTGGTTTAAGATTTTTCATACGATTTGTTGAGCTGAGCTCTATAAAGAAAGTGGGTTTAGTTTATAAGCTAGGGTGTAAAAGGGATACTAAGATGCACTTTGTTTTCTCTCTCCCCTCAATGACGTATCTGCTGAAAGTATTTTTTTTCCTTGTATTTGGAGCAAGGTTACACAGGCTTGATGAAGATAACTCCCTTTAAATTGTTTTAGGATGGTGCTCTGTGGTTAAATGGCAAACTCCTAAAATTACAAAAGAAAAACAAAAGTGTATGATTGCATATAGATCAAGTTTATAGTTTATTTTACTATGCTTATGTAACTATGGTTTCTAAGAATTCAGGAAAATAAGAAGTTCAAGATTATTTAGTCTATTGAAACTTAAGGTATGATGCGAAGGAAAATGCTTTTCATTTCATGGAAACTTGAGCACTGATCTCGTTGCACAGGTTGGGAAAATGTCTAAAAACAAGAAGAAGAAGCTAAAGAAAAAGCAGAAGCGCCAAGCGGAGTTATTGGAGAAGAGGATGCAAGAAATCGAGGAGATGGAGCGAGGAGCAGGAAATACAGATAAGGAGCGAGGACTAGAGGAGGACGAGGATGATGGAGTGGTAGAAAATGAGCAAGAGACCCAGCAAGCTAGCTTAGAGAAAGAGGAAGAAAATGTGGACAACGCACCCAATGAAAAACAAGGTAGGCAACTTGATTCATGTGAGGAACGCTAGGTATTTGATACACTACCTGCCTGGGGATTGGTACAGTATCCAAGGTTTTGTAATGTTATCTGTCTGGAGACTCATGTCAAACGTGACAGTTCAGTTAAGTGAAATGGGAGATGGATGAAAGACTTTTTTTGTTCTTGTGGTTTTTCAGAGTGTGCTATCTTTTTAGCAAGTACACAGAGTCTCAAAATAGCCCAGCTTAATTTTGCCGAGTACTGCATTGGTTTCTCTTTTCATATCTTATTGTTGGAATATGTGAACACAGGTCTATGAAGTCCCTTTAATAAGCAAAATGTTAGAAGTAATAAAATCCACAGCCCATTATTCATTCTATAGTCGCATCTTCTGTATATTCCATCAAAATCATTGGTGTTGAACACTTGCAGTATATGAGGGAAAACAATTATTTAAGGAATATGAGCGAGCCCTCACGCAATCTCATAATTTTAATTAGGTAATTTTTGACCACTTGCCCACCAGTTTATTTGCCTTCTTGCAGTGTTTTGTATTTTAAAGTTTAAAGATTCACAGTTGCTGTTACTGGAACTTTGTATCATCTCTCTCTCTCTCTCTCTCTCTTTCTGACTTACAGATAATGATACACCAGAAGAAAAAGAGCAAGAACATTTAAAAGATGCCACTACGGAAAAAATAAATATTGAATCGATAACTTGCAATGGACATGTAGAAGTTGGGCCACTCCCCGATCAGTTTAATAATGGAGAAGAAAAAGAGAAAGATGTAAATCAAAATACAAGTGATTATAAACCTGAAGAATCCTACAAAGATGGAGATGTTTCTTTTCCATGCGCTTACGACATGTTTAACGGACTTCTAGAAAATGGACAGAACCAAAGCAATCAGAGTAATTTCTCCGAAACCTGTGGACCTTTAATCACTGGGATGCTTGAATCTATGACCTGTAACTTGAACCCAGCTGATGATGGAAATAAATTGGATGAGAATGAGGAGCCACAGCAGAACCGAAGTCGGGAAGAATCTGTGTCCAGCTCTGGAGACAATGGTTCGTTCACTTTCATATCTGAAACAATTGTGCCTAATGGCCGATACCTGCTGTGCACAAGTGAACATTTTACGATGATGTCTTCTGGAATTACTATTGCATTTTATTTAGATTTTCACACAGTGAGTTGTTCGGATCTGGAATGCATTGCCTGACAGGGTGGTGGAAGCCGATTCGATAACAACTTTCAAGGGAGAAGTAGATAGATATTTGGGGAGGACAATTTTGCAGGTCTATAGGGAGAGCCGGGGGAGTGGGATTAATTTGGACAGTTCTTTCAAAGAGCTGGTACAAATACGATGGGCCGAATGTCCTCCTCTGTGCTGTATAATTCTATGATTAATACAGTGCGTTAAGTAGTTATACATTTTTCTGAAGTTAGTCCAGTTGAATTGTTGGAAAAATGATTTGTTCCAATAATTTTCCCCTTCCCCCTCTGTGCAAAGAATTCATAAAAACATTCACAGATGTTTCTGTGTCCAAGTGTTCTAACAATTAAGTGTTTCTATCTGCCAGGAAAAACAGATGCTGCCAGCTTGCTTATAAATCCTCTGGACCCTATGAATGCAGAGGGAATCCAAGTTAAGATTGCAGACCTTGGAAATGCTTGCTGGGTTGTAAGTGTGCATTTTGTTTATTCCACAATCCTCTCCTTATATTGGCTTTACAAGATGCAGGATTACCTGTAAGTTTTACTTAATATATTTCAGGGGGTTCCTAAGACTTTGGAACATTTAAACAATTTTTACCACTTCTTGAAAAAGCATTTGAGAATGTCACAAACTTTGAAATAGACTAAATGTCCGGCCATCGTGGTTCTCAGTTTACAAATTATTTGGTTACCTTCACTTCATGATGCAGTTGAGGTTGAAGGGACTGGGTGTATTTTATTTTCAATTTAAATTGATGTACTTGATAAGTACTTTAATGAATTACATGTGTGCATTGCTCAAGTTTCTAACTTTTTTCTAGCACAAACACTTTACTGAGGACATCCAGACGAGGCAATATCGGTCACTGGAGGTTCTGATTGGTGCTGGATATAGCACACCTGCAGATATCTGGAGCACTGCTTGTATGGTAGGTACAGCAAGTTATTGAAGAGTCTACAATGCACTTTATCCTCTTGTATTACGCTGGGTGTTTGTGTGTGGAAGATCTGTACATTGTCTAATAAATTCCCCTGTGACAATTCCAGTCAAATTTTATTTGTCATGAATTTTAGGAATATCGGTAATTTTTAGGATATTGTTTCATATTATTCCATGGCATAGCAAAGTTTTTATTTATAAAAGACTCACTTGTGTCAATTTAAGTGTGAGTTTCATGTAAAGTACTTTACTGATGGCAAATGTCCGAATGTTTAAAATACAAAAAGTAAATCTTACAGTAAACTGAGTCTTGAGTTGATTAACCATTACGTTTTTCCTTGCCTTGACATTTAAAATGTTCTACCCTAACCCTAGGCATTTGAACTTGCAACTGGAGATTATTTGTTTGAGCCCCATTCTGGTGAAGATTATTCTCGAGATGAAGGTGATTATCAGTAATAAACACTTCTTATCTAAGTTTTTATCTCGCTTCTGACCTCAATCTCATTTATTTGGCACAATTTCCCTGCGTGACCCATTGCAAAGCCAAGAATGAATAAATAACTTAAGGTCAAGTCCTGTTTCAGACTCTTAGAATAGGCAACTTGAGATACATTTAGTTCCATTATTTTCTAGTGGAGTCCTGTAGCTCAGTGGTTAGAGCACTCGCCTCGCATGCAAGAGACCTGGGTTCAATTCCTAGCAGGGCGAAACCTTGGGCAAGTTTCCTTATTCCACACGCCTAATAATAATCCCTCAAGAAAAAAAAATAGATTGGTTACTTCAATCCACGACTGTTTGTGGGACGCTGCTGTGCGCAATTAGCTGCCGTGTTTCGCCCACAAATATACGGTCAATTCACTTTACAGTGTATTCTGTGAAGTGCTTTGAGACGTCTAGAAGACGTGAAAAGAGCTATATCAAATGCAAGGATTATTATATTCCATTTTAAGTACAAATGTCTAGCTTCTTCGACTTGTGGAGTAGAACGAATGGCCTATTTCTTTGCTGTACAGTCTTTGTAAATCGATGCAAATGAGGTGCAATCAAATTTTTTGACTATTGGAATTTATTGTCCTATGTTTCTGTATATTTCATATGCAGATCATATTGCCTTGATAATTGAATTACTGGGGAAAATGCCTCGCAAGCTCATTCTCGCCGGGAAATACTCCAAGGAATTTTTCACCAAGAAAGGTAATGTTACTTCAGAAAATAGTATGAAGTTTGGGTTCTTCTATTCTTCTATTTACCATTGTTTCAATCCACGACTGTTTGTGGGACACCGATGTGCGCAATTGGCTACCGAGATTCGCCCACAAAATACAAAGTTAATCCAATCTACAGTATGTTCTATGAAGCGCTTTGAGAGTTCTCGGAAACGTGATAAGACGCTATATCAAATGCAAGGATTATTATTACCTACAATGTTTTCTTTTTCAGGTGAACTAAGGCATATCACAAAGCTAAAACCATGGGGTCTCTATGAGGTGCTGGTGGAGAAATATGAATGGCCCCAGGAGGAAGCTGCAACATTCTCAGAGTTCCTGTTACCAATGCTGGAACTAATCCCAGAGAAGCGAGCTACTGCATCGGAATGTCTCAGACACCCATGGATCAATTCATAGCAACCAAATTCATTGCTCTGCCCTCAGCTCAATACAGCACAGGTTCCTTCTCTTGAACAGATACAAATATATCTGTAAAGGTTGCTTCAATCTTTAGGCAGAATTTACAAACGTTTAGTTTAAAAAAAAAGCGGGGAGGGGGGGATGTAAGGACTTGGATTGCAGAGAAATATGTGCAGTTATTAAAAGCTGCAGTTTGTTAGCTGCTAATGAAAAATAATTTTAGACTACATTCAACGGTTGTGCTGTTCATAACATCTTGACAGAGTGCGAGTATAAACTATTTCAAAACCCAATCTGAAATGTTTGCCGAAGAACTGTAATATTTGCAAACATCTGCATAATGAAACTAGAGGCAACATAAGATCAAACGTACCTTATACTCGTACCAAAGAGTTAAGCTAGCTGTGTTTTTCGTATTTCAGTACATTGACCATTAAATTGGAGATTAACTAGTAAATTAACTGCTTTTTGCTTTGGAATGCCCTGTGGCCCAGTCTCATGCTTTCTACAGTAGTTAAGCCTGCTTACAATCCATCCAGGCTATGCACTAGGCGTTTATGTTCCTGTTGTCTGTAGGTGGGTTGATAGCTGAGTAACCAAAGTAGTTGAGTATATTTCCTGTGTATTCACACTTACCAGCTTTACCGACTGCCATTCCTGGAACAGCACCTTAGAAGAAGGCATTCTGTCAGTGACTGTTAAGCGCTTAAGAATAACTGAAATTTATTGTTGGAAGAACTGCACGATATAGTGGGAAACAAATTCCATTTCATTTGTCCTCTCTTTTGTGTGTTTATTTACTCCAGGTCTTAGCAATGTAACATTGTATTTAAATATTACTGTTTATATTGAAGTTGTCCCATTTTGTGTTCTGTGTAACATCTGTCCAAACATCTGTTTAAAATCTACTTGAGAGCATATTCCAGGAAGACCGACTGGAATGAATCATTTTGGTCGTGTGTTTTACTACATTGCAATGTGGCTTGTTTACCTAAATTTTAAGGCAATAAAATTATCTTTTTTTTGCGCATTTACCTTCATGTACGTTAAAGGAAGTTGAATTTGTAAATAAATATTTTCACTATCCTTAGAAGTACTGAAATGTTCAAATTCTATTGGAAGGGATGGTGGTCAGAAGCTGCCAGGGAAATGGCTACTTACTCTTTTTTTTAAAAAAGTTAAAATACTCGGCTTTCAAGTAGGATTGTATTACATCTCGTCCACGTGCATTGGCTCAGTAGAAAGGGACAGTACCGTTTTTAGTTGATAGTTAACTTTCAAATTTGCTGCCTAAATGTTGATGAAAGATCCCTTAAACCGTGCTTTCAACCATAGTTTGCACAGCCTTTTACTGTACACATAACACAAAATGGGAACCTATAGAACAAGTATTGAAGAAAAACCTGTTCTATTTACTCAGCATTTTTTTAAAAACCTCGATTAATGAGTAAGTACAAGAAAGTACAAAGTTGTACAGGCTGAAAGGAAGTGAAGTATGTCACAAGTGGAAGTCTTCTGTAGCTGTGAACTACTACTGTGTGACGATCGGTGAATTAATGGTCACATAATGGTGCAAAGTAACAACTGTGAAAAATTGAAAGGTGGGAATCAAATCAACTATAATTTCACATTGTGTTAATTTCCCCAGAGGTTGCGGCAGTGCATGGTAAAATGCCATGTCTTGCCCTGCCGGTCCTTGCTTTTCAATGAGTTTTGTACGCACCCGCTGTTCCTTTCTTTCACCACCCAATTGTAATGTCAACAGTATCCCTTGCCTGTCTGGTTCTCGTTCTCTTAAAGGATAAGCATTGATCATTCAATATCTTTGTGCAAGAAACCATTGTTTTATCACTTACACATATATTTGAAGCCTTTGAGCATTCTACCATTTTCTAGTTCCCATTAGTGTTCATTAAAATGACATTAGGACTAGCTATTAAAATTGAATACTTGTTGACTGCATATGCCGCCTGTTTAAACCGTTTTAATTTCTAGGAAATGTTGGCCGCAGAACAGAGCAAGGAGTCTGATTTTTGATGTCCAATGCAGCATTGGAAAAAAACTGGCTCTACTTTCACTGAAGCTGCTGCTGGTATACAGGCTTTAGTTCTAGACCTATCTGGTTTGTATGTGGCATTTTTTCCCAAGGAATTGTATAGGAGAATGACCTTGATATATTGACCAAGGTCATGAAGGAAATTCTTTGAAATCTGGGCCCTTTCATAATTAGCCTGTTTAAACTGGTATAAATTTTATCTTTTCAACTTTGCAGATGCTTTAATTATGGCCCATCTAGCGTAATAAAAGTTGTTCTTGCTTGTCCTGCTGTGGGTCAAGAAGACGAGTCATTTGTTACACCGGGTGTCTGGCTGCATTTGGTCCGGTTTGATTAATCAAATCAAGTTAGCTTTTATATGCTACCATATACACTTAGTATAGTATTGGTTACACATATTTTGATCTACTTATCTCCTATCACATTAGTTGTAAATTGTATTGTGGGTGCATTTTAATACGTTATTTTGGCTAAGTTTTTTTNGTGTGTGGTGCTTGCATGTAGATTCAATTTTACTTCTTGTCTTGTGATGATTAAGAGCATTGTTGAAAGGGGAACTGCTCATTATCTCTGTGGTGAAAATCAAAAGCGTTCTAAATAGGATAAGGGATTTTTATTCACCAAAAGGCGTCTTAAGTCTTTTCAAGGGTTAGGTGTGCCTTTGATTTCAGCCAGTATGGATTACATTATACAGCAACCTGCATCGAGATAACCTCATTCAAGATTGAGAGTTTAACCAAAGGTGAGTGAATGCCAGTTATTAGTGTGTTCCAACAAACAAAGCTGCAGTTTTTGTACAATCCACAAAATCATAGAACTCTTTAGTGATCTATGTATTATCAAGCTGCGTTGTTGTGTAAAGCACATTTTGTACTGCAAAACTTTCATGGCATTCACACTTCAGGAAATGTATTGCATTTAATTGATCATATTGACATTAGACATTAAACAAGAGACGTAGTTTCATGACAGTCCCATCTCCTGGAAGAAGTAACAACAAGCAACTTCTCTGGCCTGAAGATTTACAACAAACTTAGTGTACAAATCAATGGACCAAAATAAATCTCCCTCAATACTCAACCAGAAATGTTCACAAATAATGGTGCTCAGAGTTACAAAAGGTTTTTGCTCCCCATTAGTTCACCAAACAATGACATTGGGAATCTAATTTATTGTGCAACTAGTAATTTGAATTCAACTCTTCCATCATATTAACTTTATAAGGTGCCACTTGTTGTGTTCACAACGCAACAGAAGTAACAATTGTTTTTAATAAGGTGCGTGCAAGGAAACAAAAAACATATTTACCATTGGGAACTAAATTCCTGAATGAAAAGTATACTGTTTTAATCTTCCGATGGATTAAAAATCAGTTTTGGGAGGAAAAAACGCCACCTTTGATGCCCTTGGCGAACGTTGTACTGTATTTTAGTTTGTACATTTTGCCAGTTCACTGCACCACTGCATGAAAGTTGCCATATTTACCAGTAAAATACTGATTTTGCTTTGAGTTGTGCCAACCAGTTTTTGATGTATTTTTGTTTAAACTATTGTTTTTCATCTGATAGAGCTCTGGCAATCTTAAATTATGGGATGGCTTCTCAAAAGGCATTCAATACATTTCATTGTTGCAGCAAGCAATGTGCCCCAAATGTAAGAAAAACTTTCTAGCGACGGAAAAGTTGTACAAGCATTATTTAAGTGTTTGGATTATTTACCACAACTTTATACTTGCAGTACAATACACAACAAATTATAATACAGATTTACGATTTATAGGATCTTTCATGTCGGGAAGTTGTCCCGTTGCCTGTTTTGTGTAACGTAGTTGCAGAAATGTTAAATATTAGCCGGTGTTGGTGATGCACAAAGAAGAGTTTAAGATTTATGACTTCTCAAATGTAATGCCGGGATAAGTATTTATTACTGTCCATATGAACTTCTGAAAATAGGCCAAGTAGTTATTATAGTTCCAATTGCTACTTAAACGTAGACTGTTCCAGTGACAAGTCCACAAATAACTGCTTTAATAGCTATTCTGTCTTTACACAAGTAACTTGTTGAATATTTACAACACAAAAGAACTTCCACTAACTACTGAGCAGATTGTTACATACCAATTTTGACTATATTGACTAGTTAATTGCTTTCTCCTGTCCTCATCCCAGTACTGTATTTTTCTGGTGTATTTGTTTGTCAACACTGATTTTTCAGATGCGCTACGTGTAGTAGATACTATAAAGATCAAAGAATATAGTTGCAGGAAAGTGCCTGCTGCGTCAAATTTCACCATTTCTAAAATAAAAACACACACAATACGGATGACTTTTAAAAATGATTGATGGTAATTCAGGTTGCCAACCTCTAAAATTGTTTGCGTGGAACATAATTGAGTTGAACTGTGCTTGTGATATTTCCAATTTCTCTGTATGTTACATAGATCAGAAAATAGCCAACAGTCTTCCTTCTTCTAAAATCTGTTCTTCTTTTGGACCGAACATCGAGTTTTATCCCTTCTGCTACACACTGTCTCTAGGTGTTGCATTTATGGAATAAACTGTGTTTAATAAACTTGAGCATTTTTTTTAAACCACGGGTATGGCAGAGATTTTTTTTTTATCCTTTGCTGCGTCTTCCTCACTGTTTAAGGTCAGCTTGCTCTAGTCTAGCCAGGCAACGTGTGTCCAAATTGCCCAAGATGTGTTTATTGACTTAACTGAAACAGGATTTTCTTCCTGTTAAAATAGTTTGTGCATTTTAGCTGCCTTGTAATCAACAGGTTTTGTGGTGTATCCTGTTTCCTTTGCTTCCAATTGGCTTTGTTTGTCGCAGCCTTGCATTTAGACCATCTGAGTTCAATTTAGGGGAACGATGGCAGAAGGGGGCAAAAAAACAAAAAAAAAACAATTTGAGCAACGAGTCTATGGCTACAGTATCAAGTGATTTATCACCCAACTATTCTAGGTTTGATTTCAGCCTTCCGGTATTCACAGAATTACACAGAATAATATGGCACGGAAACAGGTCATTCAGCCCAACTAGTGCGTGGCAGTATTTTTCTCCACACAAGCCCCCACCTTGATCAGTCGAAGTGCAGTAATTGCCCTTGGCAGTGAATGCCCACAGCATATATCTTAACTACTATTCAGTGGAATTTCTTAATTCTAGTTTCTATTCAGAATGTGCTTGAATCTGGCCTTAGCTCGTTTCTTTGTTTGAGCTTTTTCTACCTACAAAATATTGAATTTTTGCCCTATGAAACCTTCTCCCCATCTTCGGTGGTTTAAATATAAATCAAATTTATATATCTCACTGATTTGACCTAGAATAATATTTTTAGAAGTATGTATTGTATTTCGCTGAAGCGCATAGCTATTGAATTGCAAGACAGAATTACAAAAATATCCAGACCAAAACACCAGTAAGTTTTGTACAATTTCTAAAACTGCAGCATAGTTACAATAAAGCCACATTTATTCTTTTATTAGTAAACTTCACACATGATGAATTTTAAAGGCAAGGGTTCAATGCTATTAAATGTAAATAAGATTTGAAAGCCAATGTTTATTGTAGCAGACTCCGGCAGCTTATAGAATTTATTTAAAATGTCCGCAGTGATTCGAAAATTTGTATCTTCCATAAACTTTTATAAAGTTTTTATTGTTGCTTGCTGGTGTAAGAATTATAACTTTTTTTTTTAAAAAATCCTTCGTTGAAGCACGGTAACCTGATTAGAATGGTCAACAATTTGCAATGTACTGTCAACTCAAAATATATGGAACATACAACCGGGACAAGGGTCTATAAAAAGACTGGCTGGGTTGGGAATAGATTTTTTTTTGTGTGTGTGAGTATTTCTATTTCTGGCGCGACTCTGTTTTCGAAGCTACAACCAGAACATACTGGTTGGGCCGAATGGCCTGTTTCTGGGCTGTCCGTTCATTGTAGACTCTTGAATCCTAATTCTAGGCCAATCAGCAGGATATTTGACCACGGATCACGTTTTTGAGATGTCTCAAAGCGCTTCACAGAATATACTGTAAAGCGAATCGACTATTTGGTGGGTGAAACACGTCCAGCCAATTATACCTCCAACATCCACCCATGCGCCCTTTCAGGCAAGGGAGGGGGCAATGGAAAAGCCAATCGTGGAACTCCTATCCATTGCCCTGGCCGTAAACTCAACACAGACTGTGGATCGAACCTATGACCTGTAGTTTGTGCCTTTGCCGTTAGCCTTACAGGGCAAGTTAATTCCCCTTTGTAAATCGATGCTTCATTCTCATATTTTCGCCAATTCACATGAAACCCCCGTAACACTGTCATGTGTTGATCCTGCTGTTTGTCAATTTGTTTGTGGTCCACCTTTAGGAGCAAGGGCACTAATAATCAGATGGCAGGGGGAGAGGAAAGATCATTAATTACAATGTGCAGAGACCCAATTTGCTAGGAGGAACCCGGATGTTAATCCCAAAATGGTGACCATTCTCCCATTCTAAGATAAGTCTCAGCAAGCCAACTCATTTTTAGGGCACAAAATGTAAACATTAAACACTTAACTTCAAAATTTGATCTGTTTCTAGTAGAAATGTAAGGGTTCTTCTCATTGCACTTTGAAAACAAACGTAGAGAGTCGACATGAACACATTTTAAAGAACTGATCCCTTATTATTAATAGCAGTGGTATAGCTTTATAACCTTTGTAAAATGGTGTGATATCACCTCACTTTTGGCCATTGAAAGCTATATTGTAGCATACATCAATTCTTTAGCATAGCTACTTAAAACACAGCGGGTACACAGAAACATTCAGTTTGTAACTACAGTGATTTTCTCAGCACACAAATTAAAACTTGGTGTCCAGAGGAATGGTTCCCATTAATCATCCAACTTTTGTAAGGTACACTCATAAATACACAATAAAGGTTATTACACGACCCATACACTGAATTTTGGTTGTTTTCTAGTAGAACCCCGTTAATAACACCGACTCTAATACTTGTTGTGTCCACAGTTAAATGCGCTATATGGAACAACCAACGTGATCTGAACCAAGAAAAATATTATGAAATGTTGCGGGAGCGTTCTTGCTAATGAGGTTATTAGTATCAACACAGTGGCAGAGTACAGAACCTGTTAACGCATTAATCCTCTTGACTTTATGGCCCATGTAACATTGGCCTCCAATGTAATGAAACAACGTAAATCACATTTCTTGACTATTACAATTCCGATGCAGTTACACAGGATGAGGCACAGATTGCAGCATTAAAATTATCCCGTTAATGAACTGCGTTTTGGCTGATTTCAGCTACTGACGAATCTCTACTGTTCTAAGATTTTTTTTCCAGAATTTGTCTTGTCGGTCACGAGTGCATTGAGCAGCTCTGAAAGGAAAGGGAATAAAAGGGATGTTATCTTAATATGGTACAGCTTTAAAAACTTATTGCGTTTCCCAACATATCTTATGGTAGACTACATCCCCAGTGCTTGTATGAATGGTCAGACACCCTCATGCTGGTTATTATTATTATTATTAACTGATTTGTGAATTGTGAGCATGTCGTGGCTTGATTCCATCAACAGTTTCTATCATGTACCTATTACCATGTGTGTTCTACATAAATGAGGCATTGTGCTCAAATGTCCCAGTTTCTCAGTTTAACTGATAAAAGAGCCCCCAAATTGTGAAAGTTTCATATACAAAGCTATATGACTCTCTTCTGTGATATGTGCCCACATTGAAGGCGCTTAAGCAGGGAAAAGATTTCATTGAAATATTTTCCTGCAGTCTCCCTGCTTCCGTGAACAATCATCTTTACCATTGCCCTAACAGAAGTAAATGGAAACTTAAGGATAACGAAACATCTTATCACAGAAGATGCATTCACTTAAAGACAGTATCACTTATCCAACACTGGAGCGTTGATTTAAAAGGGAGAAGTAATGGAAGAACTTCTTCTCGGGTGTGTAAATGATTTGCCAGGGGTGGATGTTGGAGCAGTATTTGGGGCATTTAACAAAGAATAGGATGAGTACATCCAGAAGAAATCTATCGGAGGGGATGCGGACAGAGAGCAGGGAATTGGGATTAGGGTTGGATGGTTCCTCGGGGAAGCAAACACTGACGTGAACTAATATTGGGTTAAGTGTCTGCTTCCCATATTGTAAGTACTCTGGGACGCTGGGTGCTATATAAATGCAAGTTGTACATTTTTATGGTTACAAGTTGAAATGGGACTGGAGGTAGACGAGCAACTTTGAAACCTTTAAAGTAGTCATAATAAAGTTGCCGCCTGTATTATAGATTTATTGCAGTTGATAGATTTGGTTATGTGTGTATACGCATTTCAACCATAGAGACCTACTACAAAAGTAAATGTTTTAACAGATTGCTGAATAAATATGTAGCTTCGTAGATCACTCACCGTGACTGATAGAAGTTGACGACTGCATTAGGCATTGGCCCCATCTGCAACGCAGGAAATAAATGTCATAAAGTGCTTGAAGCTAATTACCATATAAATGAACAAACAATTAACTTTAGAAGTAGAACAATTTGTTAGACTAACCACATAAATACAGATTATGCATAAATTGTGTATTTTTTTTAAAATTAGCTCTTGCTATGCAACTTCCAACTACACTCTACAGTTAATCCTGTGAAATGCTTGAAGATGTTTTGACGATATAAGGTGCATAGACAATGCGAAGACTATTTATTATTACATCTGTGTACGACCTTAGAAACCTTCAGTCTCTTTCTTAACTCTGGCACATGCTTGTTCTTCATTTCCTTTACTTTGCTTGCAGAAATTTATTTGAATCTTTAATATTTCTTGAGGCCTTCCAATTTTTGCGCTTTCCTATAGTTCTGCAATTGAGTTGTAAACCAAGCAACTTGATTAGATCTGAGTGGTTGTATGTTGTATCATTTGTAAAGGCTTGGGTCACGTTCCACCTGAAAACTTTTAATTCTAAATGTAAGTTTACTTTTAACTGAAGTTTTAGCCTTATGAGCTACAGCTCCATCTTTGGACTGCATATCAATACGTTCAGCTCATGCATTTGTACTTTGTAAAACAGGCAACATTTTGGGCAGGTTATAAGTTTGCTTAAACAAAGAGATTCAAGAATAACTTGAATTTACATAACGCCTTTCACGTAGAATAAACATCTTGGAGCACTTCATCAGCATTGTGTGTCACAATATTCTAAGCTCTTAATGTACTTTTACAGGACCCATTCCACAAAATCCAGGATAATGTGCAAAGTCCTTATTTTGCAACTGTAAAAAAAAATCATGGCACGGGAAATCATTTTAAAACAGCCATTCCCCTGTGACCTAACCCTAAAATAGCACAAGTCACAAACTCACACGCCGGCTTGTCGAAGGCAAACTTGCGATACGAGTAATGATTTCTGCCAAATTCATGCAGTGATGGCAGATTGGTGTTCAGCGGTACTTTGACCTCGAGCATCAAGTATATCTCGCTTTGGACAGCTGAGTTGCTTTTGCGCGGACAATGCAGTAGGTGGAGTTGTAACACTGCACATTTCAGCAGTGCAGCAGTAATACTGAGATTGCCTGGTCGCCACTAGTTGGTCATAGTTAGCAAACTAGATGCCTGATTTGTAACACACAATGTCGGTGGTGCTAAACTGGCGAAAAAGCACGTTCTTGCATATGGCAGCTTAGGTCAATTTACATTATGCAGGATACTCAAGCAAATAGACCTTGAAGAGAAACTTCTGACTAGGTCAATTTGCACCTCGCACGTAAATGGATTGCTCTTTCCCCTCGCCTCCGATTTGGGATCCCAGTAAGCTGTAATGAAGCACTTTGAGATGAGACGTTCTCGCAGCGTGAATAGCGTCATATAAATTTCAATTGTTATGATGCGCCGACAAGTTGTATCTTTTTGGAAATTGTCAGGTGAGTGCTGACGCAATTTCCACTCGTGTTCCTGTTTAGCTGATTAACAGAAAGCTGGCGAAACGCACCCAGCCCGGAAAAGGTTGTAGGGTACCATTCGTTTCTCTAATACCCAGCAAATGTACTTTATCTTCTCAAATATTGGCAAAATGTTCCACTTCCTGCTAAATGTTGGCGTCCGTCATGTTCAAACACGGAAAGACATGCCATGGTCATGGTCAGGATATTTTCTGAACTCTATAAAGAGTAACCAAGCACTCCTCGGATGGTCATGACGGAATCTGAGCCCCCTGATCCAATTACAGGTTTGTATTTCACTACTAAGAAACCATCGATCTGTCTCTCATTATCACAGTTACACCAAATGCAAACTTGGAATTTTTTTGATTAATTAAACAACTAAATTCGAATTAAATAATCCTTGCATTGATGCAGCGTTTTTAACGTCGAAACGTCTCAAAAGCGCTTCACAACGTTTTTGCGAAGTGTAGGGACTGTGTATTTGTAGGCAAACAAGACAGTCACAGCATTGTCTCGCAAGTAGCCACAAAGTGAGCCGATAATTTAAGATGGCCAGGATACTGGGACACACTTCTCTCCTGGCTTAGTCCCGGGGATCTTTAACGCTCACCTGAGCTGTCTTAATTGCGACTGATAGTTTATATAAAAACAAAATTGAGATTTAGAACTTAATTCTAATGTGCTAAGAATTATTGCTTTCTCTGATTCTCTCATCAGAATCTAGCTTCCCTTTCCCATATTATTTGGAGATCCGTCAAACCAGAGAGGTGGTGATTGATTTCTCCCCCCACCCCCACCCTTCCCGATGCGAAAAATGAGAACTGACACAAATATCAGAAATTGAGCTTTTGTCATTTTTCAAAATCCAATTTGCCTGAGAGCCAAACACATAAAAGCTCATTTTTATTCTTGTACAATTGAACCAAGCCATTTGACATTATCTGGGATATATAGCTCATTTTCTGGATGATCTATGGTTTCAGACTCTGCCCAAAAGTAATTGACATCAAATGTGTTTTCCAGTACCCATTTATATCGCGCATTCTAAGCTCTGCATCCGCACATTTTATAGGCGGAAGGGACACTTATTTTTGTGTGGTTGACCCCAAATCTGAGCTTTATAATCCTTCGGGCACAATGCTTTTGTATTGTGAGTTTCTGCAGGTATTATGGATGATTTAACATTGAGACAGGATACTGATATTTGTTTACTGCAGTAGGAATGAATAGTGTTCTTTCTGTTCTCACTGAGCTCCTCAATGCTGTTCAGCAGTTTCACCCGTTTTCAGGCATCAAGCAGAGCTAAGACAGACAGCATGATGTCTGAAATTATTTCACACTGTAACCCTATTTGCAATGGAAGAAATTAGTAATTCACCTTGCATACGGATAAGGCCTTGTGAGGATTGACTAATAATTTACTTCTTGCAGGTCAAAGGGAGAGACGTGTTTATAATTTCTACTTGGTTGTTTCAATGAAGGAAAGGGATGCATTTTATCAAGTGGTCTCAGAATATTCTATCTATCTATTACACTTTCGCTTGATTTGCTTTCCTACTTCTCCCACTGACGTAAGTTTATGAAACTGCCGCCTCTTACTTTCTGGAGATGGCTGCTTAATAATAATAATAATCCTGCACTTGATATAGCGCTTTGCACAGCATACTGTAAAGTGAATCGACTATATTTTGTGGGCGAAACGTAAGAGATAGAAGAAGTTCTGGATTGCAAACAGCTTTGAGACAAAATTCTCAAAATCGAGCTATCGCACCCCACCAATATCCTCCTTTCCCACTTTTTGAGGTTCCGTAGTTGGGAGTGAAGTGCTCTGTGTTGTTTTCCGAGGGGGGAGGGGGTGTGGAGGAATTAATCACATATCTATTGTTCTGGTAGTACTGATTTTGCCATGGATTCTCAATGGTTTGCAGAGTTTTTGCAAGGTAGGAAATTCATTCTAAACGTCAGAAGAACGGGCCTCTCTGATTACAGGAATGACTTCCACTTTTATCCGAGGGGCACTGGAAATAGATTACATATGGTCCCACATGACGACACTTTACCGGTGTTAGAAAAGTGTTGGAGGCAGTGAGTTTATTAAAGCTGTCAGTAAGGTTTTTATTAAACAAACTTAACAGCAGTGGAGATTCTTAAACTGTTAGTTGGGTCAGTTGAGCTGATGAGAATGCACAGACTATATCGAGCCGGTTTATTTTGATGGAGGGGATTAGCTTTTTGGGGGGGAATCACAATGAGGTGGTACTTGAAGACAACAGGGACTGAATCATGCAACCTCAACATTTGGTCAAACTGCTTGTCCAGATCAAATTGAGGAACGGCAATGGAACTGCAAAGCAAGTCTCTAATCTGAGCATCGGCCACGTCGAAGCAAGACGCTTCCTTTATGGAGAAGGGGGGGGGAAAAAAAACTCAAGCAGAGAATTTGTGTTCATCTCTTGCTGGTTACTTGCAGGGTGGAATTTGCAGGGAAAGGCTCAGTCGACAGGCTTCTAGGTTGGGAAGCCAGTTCAACAGACAGAAAGAGAAAGGTGTCAATAAAAATAAACAATATGGGAAGTGGATGTATACTTGAAAAAAGGAAAAATATGGGAGTGGGACTAATTGGATAGCTCATTCAAAGAGCTGACACAGGCACGAATGGCCTCCTGTGTTGTAAGATTCCATGAACCGCATCGGGAGATGATCTATTCAGTCGAACCCTAAAAACGTTAAAAAGAACATAAAATGGCAAAAATCACGTTGAGCCGTTTCTGTTGGTGTGTTGGTCACTCGCTTCCAAAGGGGATCCTCCGTCTTATTCAGGTATCAACTTCAGTTTGAAAAGATACCAGTTCTCAAATCAGAGCAGTTGCGTATCAGGCAAGTATGACGCTCGCGCAGTAAAGCACTGAACCACTCACCTTTATTTTCTACCTTGAAGTCTTCAGGAAGGAGGCTGTCTTGTCTGTTGCCAAGCACAAAGGCCAAGAAAGACAGAATGAGAGCGTCGAGGATCCCAATTATCGCCAGAATGTAGGCCCAGCGCACAGAACATTCTCCCAAAGTGTACTTGTCAGTTTTGTTCCCACACATTTGTTTGACTGCATCTGAATCCCAACCGTCAGGATAAATCATGCATCCCATTATGAGGCTGGCGGCTGAAGATAAAAAAAAAAGAAAAACATAAATCAACAACAACAAAATTACAGTTATAGAGTGCCTTTCACGTCGGGAGGATGTCCCAAGGCATCTGAAATCAAATGTGTTACGCAAGCATGTAACGAGACTATAACATTGATGTTTGCAAAGAGGGGACAGTATTAATGCATTTGTCAAAAGTTCCCTCAATGTTTTATTATCCCTTTTCTAAAATGATTGTTTTTTTGCAACGAGTCTTCAATGGTATATTGCGACATTTCATAAAGTAAAAAATACCTCCCGGTATTTGTCCTGAAGTTGCCCTTTGCAACTCTAAACCTGTGGCCTCTTGTTCTGCTGTTTTGGTGCATCCAAAGGTAAATACTTCGTACATTATGTTTTTGTTCAATTATATGATTGCATTCTTTAACATTGCTAATTGATAACATGATACTTTTGCCTAATATTGTTTTCCCTCGACCTGCCCTATATAATAACAACCTTTGCATTTGATATAATGCCTTACCACGTCGTTGAGACGTCTCAAAGTGCTTCACAGAGTGTACTATAAAGTGCAGTGACTGTGTATTTTGTGGGCAAAATGCAGCAGCCAATTGCGCACAGCAATGTCCCACAAACAGTCGTGAATTGAGTGACCAAATTATTGTTTTACTATTGTGTGGGGAGGGGAAGGAATATTACTCTTGGCTTGCCTTACTCACATGCTCCTTTGTATCTTGAAATAGCCAGACAGAGATTCAGTGCCATTCTGTGGATTCTGGGCTGGGATATACCACTATTGCTTCCTACGGCTTTGGTCTAACATTTTTCTAACACTGAAATGTCAGAAGTGACAGCTACCACGTCAGTAAAATGAAGTAGACCTGCTCCTTAGTTCCCCAGAGCTGCACGACATTCCCTGACAGAGGGCAGATGGGCACCCAGAGACTGAGAGATCACTGTCTACAAACCGTTTATCACAGTGTATCATGGCATCTCTGACTGCTGCATGTTTTTATTTTTGTGTGTGCCGACTCCTGCTCTCGGTTGTGATTTACAATACCTCTCTCAAACGTATATCTTCATAAAGGGAAATCAGAACAGACAGGACAGATCTGGCGTCAGTGTACGCCACAAGCTTATAATGTGCTACGTGCAGTACAAAAGGCCGTGCGTGCAGTGGCATGGGTCTTAACGCTCTGTACATTATGGAAGAGATGTGCACATCCTTTTCCATCTGGAGATCTCTTATCCTGTGTTCGTAACCGCACGTTTTGTGGCAAGCTGCGATGGTTTTGTTTGCAATTTGCCTTTTTAAAAAAAAAACTTATAGCTTGAGCCACTGTGTGCGACACTACAGGAAAGCGAGGTCAGGAGCCGATCGATTCACACCGCTGCAGTATATCGGTCTCGGCTGACACTCCAGTGTGGTGTGGGAGAGCGCGCTGGATTTTCAGAGGTGCCGTCCGTCAATTGAGACGTTAAACCAAGGTCCCGTTTGCCTGTTCGGGTGGACATTAAAGGTCCTCCAGCCCTTTTCCAAAAGAGAAGGGAGTTTCCTCCAGATATATGCTGGAATATATTTTCCATAACTTATCTAAAATAATACCCTGACAATAACGTTCTTGTTCTTTCAACTTCTTTGCTCACAGTCTAGGATGACAGTCCAGCACATCACTGAAAGCGTGCTGCAATGTCGGAGGTGCTGTCATTCAGTTAGGACGTGAGTATTACTGGTCTGGGAAACAACAGTGTCAAAGCACTGGATTGATGTTCCAGAAGGATTTTAACGAACAGCCTTTTGGTACTGTTGTAGTAATGCATCCCGAGCACAGGGGGTAGTCGGTGAGTTACATATCTGGTTCAGCTCTTGTGCCGATTTGATCTCTCCTTCAGAATACCCAGCCTTCGAGTCCATTACCTTAACCACTGTTCTTGGCAACCCCCTTCCAGCTGTTCATTGCTCTCCGTGTGTAAAGAAAAAAAATACTTGCAGGTATAACGATCCTACAGCGGCTTGTCCTCCTTGCCTCCTTGTCCTGCTGTTGCAAACTTATTTGAAACTCTTGTTCAGGGTTCACTTTCTCTACCCCCACGAGGCATCGTCCGGTCTGCACTTAATACTTTCCGAGTTGAGGCAGGCAGGATGTAGCCCATCCAGGGAGTGAATGTGCTCTCCATTCGTGAGATCATTAGGTTACAGAGTTCCCTGCGTTAATGGAACACTCAATAAATTAGATTGGAAGCTCTTAAGTGCTTTGGGGACCCTTAAGCACGGAGACGGGTTTCTGTTACCTGACGAAAATAAACCCTTTAACAGTCTCCTGCTGTTTTTTCTAAAACCAAAGGCTGTGAATTAATGCAAACATGGTTTATTGGATGTTTGTACATCAATCAAAATTGGGTTTGCACCAGCCATGCATTTATCTGGAGAAGCTGCTGGTTTATACAATGAACTTTAATCGCAGAAGTTTAACGCCTTGCTTATATTTTCTCTGAATATTACTCTGAGGTACCTGTGGCAGAAAACTGTTCTGACACTCAAAGGAAGAAACATGTCCTTCAATCGTCAAAGAGTTAATACTTCAAGAGTTCAACTTCTGTTTGATTTTAAAGGCAACCGATAGCTACTCTAGTTTATTATTGGAGCAGGCGTTCCCACCCAGCCGCACAGCTAATTGAATATCTCCTGCTTTCCACCTTTCCCTGACATTGCCAAGTGGCCCCAATATAAACCACAGACAATTAATTTGATGGATTCCTCTGAAAGTAATTTGGATAAGAATGCTATGTGGACACTGGAAAGTGCCAGGCAGTAAAAAAAACCATTACTTTAAGCCAACACTCTGATGAAGCATTAAAATTCATGGTAATTGGCCAACCTGATGGAAAATTTGCGTTTTTTTTAACGTCAAATCGTAAACAATTGTTTGAATAGCATGTTGTATTTTCCATGGTGACCATCATTCACCTGCTCTGAGTTTGCGGACACTGCCAGAGCCAAGTATTAATAGTATTAATCATATAATAATCCTTGTATTTGATACGGTGACTTTCATGTCAGGAGGATGTCTTAAAGCACTTTACTGTGAAGTATTGTGACTGCGTGTTTTGTAAACAAACACAGCAGCTAACCTGCGCGCAGCAATGTCCCACAGACAGCACAATACAAAATTTCATTTGTATAGAGCCTTTCACCAAGTGAATAAACAAATTTATCTGGAGGATTGTTGGCCAGTATGCCAGGGGAATAGTATAACAGTGTGGTTACACTCAGTATAATACCAAACAGATAGTCCTCTCATTAAAGCAATCAAAGCATTTCGTGAACGAATCCCAATGCTCTGGCCTCAACCACCCGTCCTGGTAATCTGTTCCAGTTGTTAATTACACTTTGGGCGAAGTACTCCTGTTTTGATAGACCACCCCATGGGCGCTTACAATAAATTATTCCATTCCTGTTACACTTTTAACATTCATCGTTGATTTCGAATTGACGACTGTCCGGATTCATCATCAAAGAAGATTGTTCCCTCTTCACATCTCATCGGAAGATTGTCACTGGCAACGGGGCAAGAAACAGAGCCCAGGAATATTCTGTCCATCATATCAGACCCCAACAATTCCATTGTTTGTGGAAATATTTGTTAAGTGGCTCAGTTTGTGTCGAATGGTATAATAAACTCCCAGCTGTTTTCCAGATCAAGGTTGCACGCAGTAAATGACAATGATTTACAATATAATCAATGAAGACTGAAATCCCTTTAGAGGCTGATGATGCAGGTTTTACTGGCCTCAGCTTTATTGCAACTAATAGCCGACCTTGCACTTTATTCTCCTTCGGAAAAGCTCGCCATACAATTCAGAGGCAAACCTGAGTCAAATTTTGATGTCAGCAGTACAACAAAAAAGAGCAAATGTCTCTGGATGTGTGCAAATCATTGGGCATAAATTCCTGTCAGTGTAACACCTTTGGTGATCATTGGACCCAAGTGGTTGCCAGGTGTCAGCCAAACTCATTTGGTAACACTCTTGCCTCTGAGTCAGAAGGTTGTGTCAAGGCTGACGCCAGCACAGTGCTGGCGTTTCTGTTGGAGGCTTTGTCCTTCGGATGAGACTTTAAACAGGTCCCGCTTGACTGTTCAAGTGAGCGTTAAAGATCCCGCTCGAGCAGAGAAGGAAGTTTCTCCCAATGCCCTGTCCAACAATCCCCCCCTGGATAAAATTAATCATTCTTCACCAGAGTTACATCTGTTGTGGAACGTGATGCACTCCAGACAATGTCAAACCAAACTTTTTGATGACATGCAAATTGCTGGGACTGTGTAGGCTTGAACCCCTGACTACAAGACCAGAAGCAAAGTTCCACAAAAATCATAAAAAACTATCCGCCTATGATGTTAGAGTAATACTATAATCCTTGCATTTGTCATAGTGCCTTCAATGTTGAAATGTCTCAAAGCACTTCGTATGTAAATCTGTCAAGCACCTTCGTAGACAAAATTCACTCAAAATATAAATTGACTCTGCAGAATAGACAATGGAAAGATTGGGTACAGTTCTATACACACCCCTTTGCCATTAAAAAAATGAGGTTTGAAGGTTAAACATCAAGATATCAGCTCTACTGTCAGCCAATTTTATGGCTTGTTAAACAAGTCATATTCTCCCTGGACCACTTACTTTAAATTGTCGCAGGTAAACAAAAACCAGAACACTGAATAGAGAGACGTTCAAAAGTTTAAAGGCACACGGCAAGTTGTGGGCATGAGGTGAATTAATGGATTTCAAATGGCGTGCCCAAAGTGAGCGAACATTCATTAACCTTTACTGACAACAGCAACTTGGATATAAATGCCACGGGAGGTTGCGAAAGACAGTCTGATTTTATTTCCTCAATTAGTAACATGACACACTTATGAAACCATAAAACTGTGATGACAAGCAATCTGAGTGAAGTCTTCCCAGGGACTGATTAATTTTGAACATTTGATGGCCGTGTTAAGAATTATTTGATGGA